GTTTTTTTCTGAGCTATGTTCAAAATTTCAAGTCTATAGCTCATCGGGAAGTGCTGGAAATTTGATTTTCCAACTGAAGACTCCACCCGAGACGACAAACAGACAGACAAACAAGAAAGTGACTTAATAACGTGGTAAAATTACAGTTGTATGAATACAAAAATTTAGGTAATTGTTTCACAGATTAAATAATCTATTAAATAAATTATAGCCCATAGTTATAATTTATGTGATAGTTGGTACAGTACCTAGTTCCTAAAGATTTTTAAAATCTTATTTTAAATTCGTTTACCGCTTTACTTTCGTGATTTTTTTGCTTTTTTTATATATAAATAAAACTAAATTACCTTAAGAGAACTGTAACCGAAATTGAACGTAGGTTAGACCTTGATAGTATCGTTTGGTATTGATTATATTAAAGAGACATTACTATTCACGACGTTTTTAATTTATTTTATTCAGTAAGGTCAGAAACAAAAAGTGTTTCAAGATTGTCTTAAGGGTTTCCCGCGTAATTGATATTTAAATTTACGCGATTACTACACATAGAATAAATTATTATAAACATCACTATTTGTACATTATGTCAAATAAAAAAAAAACTATATATTCGTCTAATTTTTATAATAGAATTAAACGCGATAAAATCCGCGCCTAAGTCACACTGACTGAATGAAACCGGCCACAGTCGATCGTGTGCCTGCTGTATTACCATAATATATGTCAGAGGTGTCACACAGACAAGATTTACTACGTCTTGATATGAGCTTCTATTAGAACATTCTGCAAGCCTCCGAAGATTTGTCAGTTCTTACCATCCGTCAAGTGTAATATCCCTCTACAAGATGAAGCAGTGCTCAAGCTTAATTGTGAATGTGGTCTCTCTTATATAGGACAAACAAAAAGATCTATAACTGACGTTAAACATCGGAAAGTCTGCAGTTTGTAATCATATACTAGACGGCCCCACCATTACATCAGATTTGATAGATCACGAATACTCGCGAAAGAACATCGATTCCTACTAGAGTTGGGCCGATTAGCCGTCGACTAATCGGTGAAGCCGATTAATCGGCCCATTTGTAGTCACCGATTAATCGGCTAAAACCGTCTATTAATAAAATTAATCAGCTATCTATTCTATTAATTTCAACAAAGGTTTTTCGTAATTTTCTGCGTGGTAAGTGCGGCTACATTGATATGTGTAAAACTTTAAATGTAAGAAAAGAATAGTTTCTCTCCCATGCGTAAAATCACGTCAAATTTATATGTCGGTAAATCAAATAAATAATAAAATAAGTAGGTTAGTACCTACATACCTTTTATTGAAAAATCAGTATCACATATTTTAATGTTAATTATTCTGGACATATAGGAACTTTGGTAAAAAAAAGAATCTGAGGTAGCTATTTAAAACTAAACAAAAACCTACGTACTTACTGTTTTAATTCTACTTCTTAACTTTTTTCTTATCGTAATGTCACTACTCTACATTACGATAAGAAAAAGTCAAAAAAAGTGAACAAAATAAAATATTAATAATATTATTCTTAATAAACTTAAAAAAATTAAGTGACTCCCTTTGCATAACAAAAAAACTTAATTCTTGAATAAATATTGTTAAATTACACGCATTTAGATTTTTAAAAGACAAATAGTACAATACTTGTTTCTGAACTTAAAACTAAAAAAATAAATTAAATTGTTATTTTTCTGTACCAAAAATTACAATAAATTGTTTTTTTTTTCTGTAATGTTATTAAATAAAGAATCTGTAATCATCTAATAATTTGTTAAAAAGATATCCCCTTAATTTAAAAAAGTATTGAAGGATTTTTAGAAAAATATTTAATTTATTTGTAATTTTGAACCAGTGGCAAATTGTGACGCAAGAATGCCTTAATCTCAGCCCTTTCTAGTTGAAATCGATTTCTTTTTTGTTTCGTAGATATTCCCTGCCTCAGAAAAAAGTCTCTCACTATAAACAGAGCTGGCGGGTCAGCAAAGGTAAACTTTGGCTAAACGGGACATTTCTGGATATCTGGCAGAATTTTTGTTCCACCATTTGAATTTATCATCCCGATTAATCGGCCATTTCTTAAGCGATTAATCGGCTAATCGGCAAATCGGCCAAAGTACTAATCGGCGCAACTCTAAACTACCAAGGATAATACGTAAGGCTATTGAAATTAAAAACATCCTAATTTCAATAGAGGAGGTTGGGCACCACTACTTCTCTTGGGAGCCTGTAAATAATAAAATTAAAACTAAGCCCAAGCGTAGATCAAAAATATTAATTAAAAAGATGAAGGTACTCCGGGTTAAATTTTTACACCGGGATGTCAATAACCTCAGTCCCCCCCCCCCCATGGCCATGGATGCTGCAAATCTCCCGTAACGTCGTGAATTAAAAATAAGTAGTATTCACGTAAATTTAAAAAATCATTACTATAATTTTGCAAATTTAAAAAATACGGTTACCCAAAACGACTTAAAAAACAATGGATTTATGGAGTTTTCCCCCTTTATCACTAGGACGTAGAAGTCTGCTGCTGGACAAGGGTCTCTTTTATAGTAGGGAGGGATTGCATTACGCGTCGCGCTTGGCAGGCGATCGAAGTATGTTATACCGCCATCTATCGGAAGACGTTACATTTACTGGTATTTCGTATATCTATAATATATTTATACAGTTGTATATTTAGTATATTTATATCAATATAGTTGTCTCTTGCCAGATCCACAAGACAAAATGGATGATAGATTCACTTGCCTTGCCACCACACCGCTATGCACCGAACATTGTGAATTTCTATAGTACGATCATTTTTATGTTTCTTAAAATAATCTTACTCTTCGTATGTTCGGGAAGTAGCACCTTCAGTTACACCATAAATTTGCTAAAAATGCAATAACACCAAATAAATAGTAATATTCATTAGATAATTATTATACTTATTTATTAAAAGCATGATCCATGTCAATCATCGCTAAAAAAACACAAAATCTACTAATTTACTTGGTATTATACTCCGATCAACAATTTGTTGATCGGAGACATTATATAAATAAAACTCCGTTAAATATTGATCCGTCCATTCTATTAACGTTCTATTGTGAGAAGAAACAAGAGACACAGTTTCAAGTTGTCAATGAGTCATCGCTCACGTAGGATGGCGTTAATGTCTGACTATTAAGGACAAACTAGTTTTCTAGAGTTGCTCGCACGTGATGTAGCCCTTAATCGTTAAAGATCAGACTGGTCTTTTTTTGCTTACGCAAACCCGCCCTGCGGGGGCAAAGACGGGTTATGTCAGACTCGCTCCGACTAAAACCCCATGGTATTCCACCTTCGCCGCATATTGGCAGTCTCGTGGCTTCCCCTGCTCGGGATACATAGCGCGCCTCCCTCCACGACCTCAAATTTCTGATCAGATTGGCCTAGCATAAGAAAAGACTATTCACGTGTAAGTTTGAACGAATGTAATGAAATGTATTATAATATAGACTTGCAACGAATATTCGGCTATTGTTCGGTATTCGGCCTATTCGGCTACTTTTATCCTATTCGGTCAAATACCGAATACTTAGGTGAGATGTTTTGTTGTAGTCTTACAATTGTTAATTTCTAGTAATGATTAAAATAGTCAAATTAACATTCAAAATTTGATTGTGCTACAACTATACTACTAATATAACTGCAGCATGGCTTTATATTTTATCCTATAAAACAAAAAAACGTGCTTTCCAAGGCACAGGGGTGAATTGCCTGGATGTAGCATCCTGACTCAGGTCAGATTGCTACTGAGCATTTTTGACAAAAAAATCCAATAACAAATTTAAGTCTCACCAGTGACTACTAACTATTAGATCAATAGCTGCCCCTCACTAGATGGAGTAAATCTGGTAGGACATGCGGGAAGTCGACAGATGCATGTGGCTCCGGATCGTGCTTTGTGGTACTCCTTGGGGGAGCAGTGAACTTGTGAAGAGTAATGATGATGATGAACTAGTACATGCAATAGTACGTTGCTTTAATCACCAACAGACATCTAAATCCACTATTATAAGATAAAATTATCAAGATACTCGTATAAAACACAAAATGTATCTCTTAATTATACCTTTATATCAAGGATAACCCTCAATTCTTGATTATTCCTTATTTTAGTATCAATACATATTATCAAAAGCGATAACTTTAGTTAGTCTGCGCTAACAACTTTTACGCGACTCATTATTTTTAGGTGTCTATTTTGCTATTGTTTTTCTATTTGATAATGAAATTGTACGATAAGCATTTTAGCCAATGTCGATTAAAGAGCAGTTATTAGTTATACTAATATTGAAACCTCACATTCCAAAGCTTCTGGCAGTTTTTATGAAAGTTTAACACATTAGCCCAGCCTAACATGTAGTCAGGGACGATAGTATCAAGTTGCCTATACCGAAAAAGTATTTTCATGATTTTATCATCATCAAAACACTTGTTCCGTTGTTTCCACTAGTTTACATAAACACATAAGCAACAAAATCGCAATTTTACGTATTATCAAAATGAAAGCCAGGACACGTCTTGCATACAAAGGCAAAGTTGTGATGACTTTCAGGAAACTGGTTTTGTGTTGATCCAATTATCATCCCATTTCCATAACTGGCTTCCAGTGACTTCTACCTTTTACCCAAGAGTATAAGTTCTTGCAATTCACGAGTGCGGTCGACCTTAGGATGTGGTTCGACATGTGCATGCACACTGTCACACTATGCATGTACAATAATTGGTTATTGCTTCTAGCAAATTTTGTTCATTTATGTAAAAATATTAAATAAATCAAGTTTTAGATAAATACTTTGTGTTTTGAATAGTTTTGTTAAAGCAAGTAAACTACACTTAAAGATACGGCGGACAAAAGCACGAGCATAGTATACAACATAATGAAACAAAAAATGCAAATAAAAACGCTTGGCTATAAATATAAGTAAAATGAAATGAAACTTACTGTCTCATGGAGCCCCATCTCCGATGCGGCAGGTTCTCTTGATGGCTATGAAAGACAACACAACAGTGAGAAGCAGATACAAGTGCACAAAAAACACAAATGTGAAATTTTAAAAGTATAAATAGCAAAATAAACTTTCTATGTGTCTACTACGAAAAACAAAATTAGCAAGCATTAAAAATTAAGAAATATGATGACGCCTTATGATTAAATAGATAATATTTGATTACGATCCCATCTTTTGGTAAGTGGTGATACGGTCATAACTGATAAAGGCAGGTAAAACGCACTTACAAGCATTGAAGTAAGTATTAACATTATACGTCTATGCTTAAAATCGTATTCGTCTCAATTAACTAAGAATTTATTCTAAACTTCAAACATGTGTATTCGTCGCCTAAAAATCGAAATTTGATCGTAATTAACTAAGTTTTAAGGTTTGCCTACTATGCAAACTGTATTTCACTTTCGAGTGCACATTAATATATAAAACACAGATAATATCTAATATAAAAAACGCTTCTTTGCCTTGACATACACTCACACTACAAACATTTATTGCAAAAGCAACATTTGAAATTACACAAAATTCACAGCTCATTAAGTCAATCTGTACCTAAGTAGTTATTTGTTGGCAAACATTTTAAATCAGCAGAGAGCCGTCTATATCTATCTATATAGCCGAGCAATACTAATAAATGTTATCTTACTTAGATACAAATCAGTAAAATGTAAAAAAAAATATTCACAGTTCCTTTTTTATGTTTTTTCTAGGTATATCATTTTTTATAGGTTCATCACTTATATGTTCTCATCATAAAATAATTTATTAGTACATGAAGTAACATACACAATGTTTTAACGTATTGTGTTGATTTTGACAGTTACCGTCAAAACTTAGTCACTCATAAGCAAGCACTCACGTAGGTACCTACACATATGTAATATAAAATTATTTGTAACCAACAAGATGTTCTTTTTACTATGCACCTAGCATACTTAGATAGAGAGTGAATAATCTAAGCTAGCATATTATAACAAGCTGAGCATGGTTTCTACGTCACTTGAAGTGTATGCATCGCTCTGTCGATCTATTTTTGTTGGTCTGTGGTTACAGTAAAGGTTAACTACAGTGCGTGAGGGTAATATGGTCGTCCGGGTAACATTGTAATAACTTTCATATACATCAAAAACTACAGCCTTGTCTGCATACATGGCTTTGAGATACGATAGCTCTGCATCAGCCAATCAAAGAATAAAAGTTCAAAAGGGCGCTACTTTATAGACGTAATTTTGACAGTCGACATAATTAAAAATACTTTAGCCGATTTTAGTTTGGTGTAGCGTAGTTAGTTTTTTTTGAAGTTCATTTTTCGAAGTGTTCCTAATTATTGCCAAAGCTTGTTTGTTTTTTTGAAGTGAAAACTGCTTTAGCGGCGTTGTACACTTTTTTTGTAATGGGTAAAAAATATTAAACTCACGTCAGGACACGTGACCTGACCGAAAATTCGTATGACGGATGGAGAGTAGGGGAGGAAGTATCCCCCTCTCTTTCTACGGCGCGGCGAAAATGTTGCTGTTTCGTTTAGGCGGCGCAGGGCGCTTGCGCGAATGTAATATAAATTGTCTTGTTTATGTACGATACCGCAATAAATAAATATTGTATTCTACCACATAAATGATAGTACTTTTATACTGATAATTAAAGCAATTCGTGAAAAATTATTCCCTAACCATTCCAAAATATCAAAAATGCACAACGTTAATATGCAAGTTTTCACTTCTGCCGGCACTCCCAGAGTGCAACCCGTTTTTTTTTTTTGCGCTTAATATATTAGTTATATTATACAACTTCATGTTTTAGTCTCTGTATTCTTTCTAGTTTTGGTTTTAGAAGGCGGCAAAGCTTAAGATGATATTTAAAATCACGTACCTTATTCAAAATAATGTTTTTCAATTCAATTCAACATTTCAATGTTAAATTTTGTTGAACTTATTTAGTTAGTCATAATAGAAACGTTTGGCTTTTCGCTTTGCCTTTCATGGTGTGCTATTCAACCTCAAATTTCATTGACAGCCAAAAAATTTATGGTGAGTTTGGAAAAAAATTAAACCGATTACGCCTAAATTCTATAATAATGTTAGTTACAATACTCTTTACTTAAAAAATCTTTTAGAAAATAAATAGATAATATTAATAGAATGCGTGAATGTGAACTAAAATATTTAAAACATACAGTACGATGTTTTTTATATATGGGTGTTTATGATTGCTTTTGATGTAACGTTACATGCGTTATAATTAACAAAGTAGCTTGTAAAGCAAATTACCTAGGTGGTGTCCTTCTGAGGCTTGTTCTTGTCCATGAGTGTCGATTCAGAGGATTTGCTGGACTTCTAGATCCATTTTCCAATCTGTAACAGATAAGCAAATGTTAGTTAACTGACATACAACAACAATAAACAAAATATAGTAAGCAATAGCTTACAAAACCTTACTGCAGTAAATTGAAGAGAAAAGTTTATTGTAAAGATACCCTGATCAGTATCGACCATTGAAACCGTGCTATCATATTATATATTTCACATACTAACAGAAGCATTCTTTCTGGCATATAGTTTCAGGCCTTTTACGACAGTCACTCGATGAAATAGGTGAATTGCGAATTCTCTTTCGCTGCCACCACACGGCTTCCGATAGATGGCGCTATAACCAACTCGCATTCGCCAGACATGAAATTGTGATTTGTGAAATTCTTAGAGCGACAACGGTGAGCAACTTTAAAGTAGGGTTGTAACGGAACTCCGCCTCGAACTACCGCAAGTAATTGAACCTCCGCCTCCGCAAAATTTATGCGGAGTTTTAACGGAGGTTTATTTACTAATACATACAACGCCCAAAGAGCGACGCTGGGCCCAACTAGATGAAGATCACCCATATTGTGGTGGAGATATAACATGAAATATAAAGTTTTTGCTCCCATAGTTCGCACTTACTTGTCGGCGCCGCCAAGTTTAGTGCTAAGTGAACAGTTATTTCGTTAAGCTGGTTTAATTTATGAACCCTTGAGAAATCGTTTGGAAGACGCAAAGCCGCAAAGCTGTTGTTCGTAACATACAATTTGCCTCTTCTCAATTTTGATTACTAGTTTATTTATGAAAGCGTACCATGTACATGTACCCTTTAAATTTTGAAATAAATATTTTTGACTTTAATAAATCATGAATTGTTTTCACTTCAAATTTCACCTCCGCCCCCGCTTCCGCTAAGAAGGCCTCTGTCACAACCCTACTTTGAAGTAGGGTTCCCCCGAACGGGTTCCCGCCTTGTCGTGGCGGGGGGCTTAGAAGCCGTGGCTTGGTCACCCACGGCGAAACAAAGAGGAACCCATATGGCTGGTCCGAGGTGAAGGGCCGGCCCGAGGTGGCCACTCCGAGTGGGCTTGGGAAGCCCACTTCGGATGTGTGTTGGTGGACTGCGGTGAGAGGTGTGTCCTCCCCACCTATCGCTGCAGCCGAGGTGGAGTCGCGGAGGAAGAGGAGTGTTGGTATGGCGATGCGCCACTCGCCCTATCCTCCGCGACTCAAACGGGGCCGCACCGTTGATGCGGTGGTGGTGGGGCTGCGTTGGGAGAGGATCGTCGGTATTGCGAGGCGCCGCTCTCCCTACCCTCCGCAGCCGAATCTTGGTTGGCGGCGGAGCCATAGACCAGATCCGCCGCTGGGGTCGGGAAGGCTAGTACTTCTAAGTGCTTGTTTTTCCTGGCCCCATAGCCTTCTTGCTTTGGACGCGGGGGCGTCCGTTGCGCAGATGTAATTAGAGGCCGAGACGGAAGGCGCATCATGTGTTCTGGTGCGCCTTACCTGTGAAGGAGAACGGGGGAGGAATATTCCGCTCCCGAGGAGGTGCAGCCTTGGGGCGGCAGGCACTGGGGGGGCTGCGGATGTGTGCGAAAGCGTTCCCGTGGCCCTGCCAATAAGCGACAAAGGTGGAACACCATGGGGTTTTAGTCGGTGCGAGTCCGACATAACCCGTCCTTGCCCCCGCGAGGCGGGTATGCGTAGGCATTTCCCCATGTAAAAAAAGGGTGCGAGATGACTAGTACCGCTATCGTCAATCCCATAGATAATATTATACTATATAAGACAGTCAATCCGCTCGCCGTTCGACTATACCATATATTAAGACATAAGTTTGTACTTTGTAGGAGGACCGCTGTAAAGACCCATATCCAGCAGTGCATTTCGAGGGCTGATTATGATGATGATGAGGAAGTTCAAAAGCTATCAGCTGCGCAAAAGAATAAAAAAACATGCGTGCAGTTCACACGAGGCAGAAGTTGAAACATTCATAAAAATTCTCTATACATACTGTGTTCTACCTCATTCTCTCGCAGCCTAAATCCAGTAGATGTATATGTTGTGTCGCTTTTTCGTTTCATCGAGATTTAAATCACAACAAATCTAAAGAAGTTTCCACTTCAATTTAAAAAAAAAACTTCAGATAAATAACAAAACAGCCCAACTGCCTGAGGTTGTCAATAGCGAAGTTGCGTTTTTTGCCACAAATTTATATATAAATAAAAGAATTATTCATTAAAAGTATATTTAAATATTTTTTATTAACAATTAAATTTTTTGTAATTAATAATAAAAAATATTAAAATTTTTGAATGAAAAAAAAAACGACTTGTGATTAGTTACGACGTCAATATCTGTTGAGGCTGTGAGCTATTATCCTAAGGCAAGACAGCAAGTTTCGCAGGTTTGTCGATTTTTTATGGTGTAAGAAAGAATATTAACCGAGTAACGGTGGTGTAAGAATATCCACTACGTCATATCAACTTGTGTCATAAGGAACTATGACACTAGTGGAGGAGGGAAACTAAAAAGGAGATGGGCAACATCTTTCTAAAAACAACTCAAAAAAAAACTATGGATGCCACAACCCGCTAGCCGAGCGTGGTTCTATTGCCAGCCTCACATGCGGCGGCGCACCCTGCTGACTGAAGGATGACGTTTTTGGAGTTATCAATATTGCTAAGCCCAATTCCCAAAGTATTGATGATGAGCGGGATTTCTCCGTACTGACTATGCCCTCACCAACTCGTCTACCCAGCGTAGTGAGATGGGCAATTTCAAGTATTATTAAGGTCGTTTTCCTGGAAAAGCCTATAGTCTAGCAGAGAACTAAAAAAGGCTAATGAGGATAAAATTTTTACACACCCGTGGGAAAGAAAGATGTACTTAAGTAGTGTAAGTGTAATTTTTTACGCCACTACTTACTTACTACAACCTTTACATTGTGATACCGTATCTGATACGTCCCGTTTTTCAGATAACCTCGCATGTGATACACCTCGTATTGGGTACATGAATTGTGATCAATAGATTCACGTATTTTGATATTGTATCACGATATATATATATATATATATATATATATATATATATATATATATATATATATATATCCTAGCTTGCCAGGCAGACGTTGTTCTGCCCTTTTCGATGACCCTTTGTCATGTGCTATTAAAAATCCTTAAATTCGCAACAAAAAAAATTGTGGGTTTTTTTTAAATATTAGTAATCTTATTAATTAACATTACTAATATTCCTTTTAACCACTCCTGGTAAGCTCGAAAATGCTTGTGTTAGGAGTGGTTCACGACAGTAGTCAAATGGCGGATTCGAACCCACGACCTTTTGAGTTCGCGATCCGCGCCCTGCCATTAGGCTACTGTCGCTTCAATTTTTTGCCCATGAATGGGTTTCATTCATGGGCAAAAAAAACTATCCTATCTTTCAAGTTGGACCAAACTGCACACGGTGTGCAAATTTTATTAAAATCGGTTAAGTAGTTTAAGTCCATCGCGGACAAACAACGTGTATATAACAGTGCCTGATGAGCCGCGTCCCAACATTTGTCGGTTTTTCCTCGATCATTAGTAAGAAAATGAAACTAGGTACACGCCGCTACACGAGGTTCGGAGGAAAATTTGTAGCGCCCACACGTAAAAAAATTATTATTGTACACAAACATGATAACGTGTTTTTACACAATACGCATAGTAGTACAATATGATCAAAATGGGCGTCCGTACTTAGGTTATTAAGAAAATTAAAGGATTCCCAATAAGGCTGTTTCATTAAAGATATTTAGGCAAACGTAAAAAAATCATAGTTCGTCTTTAAGATGAAAGACTTTTTGTTATTTTATAATTAACTCTCAAATAAAAACGAAAATATGACGAAGAAAAATAATTGTATGTAACCTGCATCCTCGGATCCTCTAACACTATAACTCCAGATTTGAGTTAAAAGTTAAAATTACATATGTATTAAAAATAATCGAAATATGTAAATAAATTATTACCATGATGTAAAAGCATGAACACACCTTTATCTATTACCTCGGTGAATTAGGAATGTTATGTTGCCCATAAAACATCAAGTAAACGCGGAAGCTTCCCGGGACGTTGACCGCTGAATGTTGCTTTGTTGATATTTTAGTTTTTACTAGACACGTTTATATAGTCACATATTAAATAATGTTACTACATAAATACATTATAAATTTCAACTGACAATGTAGTAGCTAACATTATTTAACCTGAATTTTGAAATTTCCGTAGGAAGTTATCCAACATCCTTATACATATTACACCAAATTCTATTTGTAAACGAATAGTCACGTATAAAAATAATTTTAGAAAGGTATAAATAAAAATCGACAACACTTTACGGTTTAACGTTTAACGTTGTGAGACATGTTCAAAGTTGTAAGAATTATGGATCAATAAGCAGATACCCGATTGCTAAGAACTCAGATAGCCCATAGCGTATTCAATCAAAATCACGGTAGCTAGGTTGTCAGTAGTTAGTAATTAGTAAGAAGTTTTTATTTGATTATCCGAAGAGATCTTACGTGTTAGCTTGTGTATCGCCATCAGCTTCACCGTAACACTCGAAATTCTCTGCGTCTGATATAGAGTTGCCAGGGCTGGAGTCTGCAGCTGGCTCTGACTGACTCGCGGATTCGGTGCCGTTCTGTAAAACAATTTTATTTACATTTTCATATATGTATTGTGTAGTGGCGCAGTAAAAATATCTACTTCATCATTTTTTCATCATCATTACAGCCCTTCACAAGTCCACTGCTGAACATAGGCCTAGAATATATACTACCATAGAATATCTACTACCGTTTATTAAACTTTAGGTGCCGTAAGAACCAACAAATAAAAATGGAGCAGGAGATGGATAACTGAACTTCTTGACAACTCAAAGTACTAAATATTTTATAGTCAACCAAATCTAAGAAATACCTTTTGACGTTTCACATTAATCATTCCGCAATAACTTTGCACAAGCGTACTCATACAATTGACAATAACCCTTTACCTAAATCTGAAGCATTATGAAGTTATTTATATTTAAATACAACGTTTTTAGTTTTTTATCGCTAATTTAAATTTGAATATTTCAAATAAAGCAAAATATTAAAAAAATAACCATTATCAATTTTTTTACTTGACGTCGTTTCAATTATATGTCGCTATGTGCCTTACCGTAGTGTTAGGATGATTAAAATTCATTGATATGCGAATAATCGGCAAAAAGATTCAAATAATCGTTAAAAATATTCAAATAATCGGTAACAATGATCAAATAATCGAATCGTTTTTTTAAATGTATGATTTGTTTAACTAAATTTTTATTTTTAAAATTCCTTAAATTGCAAGAATCAATAAGAATAAAACAATTTTTTTTTACTTTATTAAAGTAAATTTGTGTAAGCAAAAAACTAATATATATACTTTCAATCTTGTGTGATTTTGTGTTTGTCTTCTTATTTTGTGACTCGGCTTTAACTTTTTGGACTGTTTCTTCTATATTCGTTAAAGCATGTGCCCATTTAACAAAGGATGATTGGGCAAAAGTGGTATAAAAACACTTAAAAAAACAATAGACTTTGAAAGAGACATTAATTTTGACTGCATTGTTGAAAATCAAATAATAATTATTCTAAACAACGACAGCTCAACTAGTAGTATTGAAAGTGATTGAATATATTTCTTTTTAATCTGCCTCTAGAAATAAGCAGTAACAACGAATACGAAGAAACTGATAAATCTTGTGTTTTAAATTATCCCTTTTTAATTTTTTCTGGTATTATTCAAACGAAACTGTAAATGATTACCAACTCTAAATAAAAGTCATCGATTTTTTTTTAATAATCGAATTTTACGTCCCATTTTTTGGTTGGCATGCTTGGTGCAATAAGTCTGACAGCTGTCAAAATGTATTTCTTAGATTTGGTGGACTATAAAACTTTTAATCCGTAATACATTTATATGCTGAAATGCATGAATGAAAAATTAATGAAAATAAGTGCAATACGTCCGGGACGTTCGGCATGCATGACAAAAGCGCGTACTTTTATTAGTATTCTGAGAAGCTGCTGCTAAAAATGTATGCCGAATGGCTAAAACACCACGCGCCTTTCGAACGGTTTTCACTTCGATCTTCGGCTTATCTGCTATCGGTAGAAAGACATTCTTTTCAGTTTTGTTTGTAAGCTCATGTGACAACTATCACCTAGAGAATGGGTTGAGGTCGGATAGTATCAGCGGAGAGAATCCTTCGCTCTATTATCCGACACTCAAGCACCCAGTGACGGCCCAGTCAAATTAGTCCTTAAAATAGAAGTAAGGTTACATTTATATATTACATAATTTTCACAGCTTTCATCATTTTCAATACTCAATTTGAATTCAATAGGATCACAATAGATCGTGGAATAGGCCTACCGGGGAAACCACGTTAAAAAAGGCGCCAATCACACTACCTCATAGGTGGTGTGAAAACGTGTGCATATTACGAATAAAATATTTTTTTCAAGTCTTTCAACCGCTATATCACGGAAATGGCAATACTTATGAAAAAAAAGTGCGAATACATTTTTTGAAGAGAATCGGATGATCTACAATTTTTGTCTGAACTATTTTTGCTGTAAAACTCACCGTTTAGCAGAAAAACGCGAAAATCCTATTTTTGCTAACTTTCACCTCAATAAAAAAATTGCACAAGAGGGATTGATGGGGACTTTTCACAATTCATTTATAATAGTATTCTGAACATTCATACCAATTTTTAGCTCCATGGAAATTTTTGTAAACTTCAAAGTCTTATTTGACTGAACTACTAGGGCGGTGCGAGCGTTGACCGAAACGCTGCCACCGGGCACCGGTTACCAATCCATTCCCTCTTTTCACTAACATGCTGTTTTGTTGACGCTAATTAGGAAGTCAAAGCGCGAGTATTTTGTCGCTTACAAGCCAGTAGGTGGTTATTCGGATAAAGGACTTACTAGACTCTTTCTTGATGTAATTGTACAAGTGTTTGACTTAGACACAAATGATTGTCGAGGTCAAGGGTACAATAAGGGTGCAAACATAACAGAAAAATTAAGTGTTTAAACCAGAATTTTACTCAATATTCTCGCGCATTTTTCAATCCATGTGGTTGAAGTTATTAGAACTTAATTTGCTCACATTTGCGTAAAAGTAAGTAAAGTAAAGTTACAGCCTATATACGTCCCACTGCTGGGCTCAGGCCTCCCCTCATTTCTGAGAGGGTTTAGGGCAAGGAAGTGTCCGCCGCGCTGCCCAAATGCGTGTTGACGAACTTCACATGTCTTCGAAATATTTTTTTCTTATTCCTCAGACATGCAGGTTTCCTCACGATGTTTTCCTTCACCGCCGAGCACGTGGTAAATCAGCACTTAAAATTGCAATTAACAATTTCATTGGTGCCGGCGGGGATCGAACCCGGGTTACTCGCGTTCTGTTATATTTACAGCGAGCGTTAACCACTGAGCTACCACGGCTCTCTACATTTGCGTAACTTATAATTATATAATTTTATTTTATTCCACATTTGCGTAATAAAATAAAATTATATGTCCTACCCAGTCTGAAGAGCATCTCCCAACCCCCTCAATTGCATGTGCTATCTCCATAGCCACCACTCCCAGGACATCTGGGAAACTATCTGCTTCACCCAGAAGAAGTGAAATTGCTCACAGCTAAGCAACTCCTACTCATTGAAGACAAAGGGTTTAGCAGTGAACAGCGATCACAATAGGTCTTTTTGGGTCGCAGTGACACTGGTCTTTCTAGACCTGCATAACTGATCGCACAAAAATGCTATGCAGTCTGAATCTATGGATTTGCCAAAGGTGTCGTATTGTTTGAAAATGTTGTCAGAATTTTGAAACAGCACGGAGCCTTTTCATCTGCTCGAATAACAGATAGATCCAATTTTTAAGCCAACCCAATCCCGAAGAAAGTAAATATAATTTGTGTACAAAGCCGTAGGGTGAGAGACCAACTGATCCTAAAGAATTGTTTAAAATGAACGTTTTTTAGCCTGTGATAGAATTTTGACAACTCCGTGGCGTAGTAGCCTAGCAATGAGTGGCTGCGCTGGGAGCCGCGGGTTCGAATCCCGCACGGAACAATTATTTGTATGGCCTACAAATAATTGTTTCGGGTCTGAATGTTTGTCCTTGTGCTATTTATGTTTGTAACTACCTCCATGATACAGGAGAAAATTCTAGTGTGGGGCTAACGTTTTAAAAAAAATCAAAAGTGCATATTTGGTTACTTGACTTAAACTATCAACATTCTATGATACGTGTTCATTTTCAGGCAAAAAGCCTCTGTTGATTTGCAAATCAGTTGAACAGATGGGCATAATGCGATTTGTTTAGTTGTAAATTCATTCGTAGCTGGTGATCCTCAAGGTACCGCATGAGCTGGCTGTTAATAATGGATTCCATTATTTTAGAGAACAAGGAGGTGATGGCGATAGGTCTATAGTTGGACGGATCAGAGCGATTACCTTTTTTAGGGATCGGATGCACGAAGGCTGTCTTCCATGATTTCGGGACTACGCCTAGGGAGTAGGAGTACCGGAAAAGACGCGTTAAAACCGGTGCCAATTCCGGAGAACACATCTTCAGCATAACGAAACCCAAAAAAAAAAAAACTCTTCACGTTTGCCCCGAGTAGGTTTAATCTCGAGCAGAATTCCCCCCCCCCAGAATACGTGGGACAGCCTGAGCACCCACGCTCAGGAAGAGTAGGCTAGCTTGGGCGTGGATGATCAGCGCGGGATTCTCCGTCACCAATGGTGCTGGTTTAACACTGTCTGCAGAACAAGTTTAAATAAAAGTTGTCAAACAAGATTATTAACTCTTATTATGAGAAATAATCTATACAACTAGTCACTACAGCAAGGCTGGTATAGTGGCGTCGTCGAGCGCAACAGAGTAGTGCGAGCGGAATGGACAACATTTCTTTAACGCGAATAAGCAGAACAACTGCTATGGCTAGAGCGACAGACACAGCTGTGCTTACCCCGCATATCACCTGTAGATATTTGATATGTCTAATACTATTTGAAATCACGAAAAAGCACCTGCATAGTGTAGGAACACTAAGGTTTTGTATTTAGAGGGGCGCCACTATGAGATCTCGCACCACTTAAAACTTTTGCAAGGGCCGCCTCTGCAAGTACTCAAATTATCTTATGTCAAACTGCGATCTTGAAGACATTAGTATCACAATTAGTACCACTTCAACGACAAAGGATAGACAGTAGTTTCCCAGTAAGTATTCAGTTTTCAAATTTCGATGCAACGCAGCGGACATTATTTTGTTGTTTAAATTTGCCATTGTGCGAAAGAGTTTTTACCGGGCGAGCTTATATACGTACGTGATAGATATATTTACGTGCGATTATTTTACGATTTACGATTACGATATATTTACGTATATTTACGTCATGTAAAAAAGAAATGTTTACACGATATGTTTGTGTCTGAAATTGTCGCAATCAGTTGCAACCAAAATGATTGCATGAGGATCTTTCATGCAATATTCGCGACCGTGGAAAGAAAAGGGGAGAATCTCTCACCGGGCAAGGCAGTGAGCCCTGGGAGAGGCCATAACTCCATATGTTAGTTCGGAGTTTATCTATTTTAGAGAGTTCATATAAATATATAGGTATATTTATACGAATTTTGATAGCACGAATTAGGCTTCAATGATTTTATTTTCACTTGTGGCGTGACGACAGCGCCGCCAGTTTGTTTTAAAAATAATGAGGTAAGATATGAAGAAATCATAAGTTTATTAATTTTTAACAGTGAATCTGCTTACCTTGTTCGTTTATGTTCCCGATACAACTTTTTTAAAAAGTTTTTATAATATTAAGGTCAAAGAGATTTAAATATATATATATACTAGCATAAATGTCTTTGGTTAATGTTGATGATTTTGAATCGTATAAATTCAAATACATAGTCAACCAAATCTAAGAAATACATTTTGACAGCTGTCAGACTTATTGCACCAAGCATGCCAACCAAAAAATGGGAACGTACAAAATTCGATTATTAAAAAAAAATCGATGACTTTTATTTAGAGTTGGTAATCATTTACAGTTTGGTTTGAATAATACCAGAAAAAATTAAAAAGGGATAATTTAAAACACAAGATTTATCAGTTTCTTCGTATTCGTTATAACTCATTATTTCTAGAGGCAGATTAAAAAGAAATATATTCAATCACTTTCAATACAACTAGTTGAGCTGTCGTTGTTTAGAATAATTATTATTTGATTTTCAACAATGCAGTCAAAATTAATGTCTCTTTCAAAGTCATCCATAATCAATTTTTTCTGTTTTTATACCACTTTTGACCAATCATCCATTGTTATATGGGCACATGCTTCAACGAATATAGAAGAAACAGTCCAAAAAGTTAAAGCCGAGTCACAAAATAAGAAGACAAACACAAAATCACACAAGATTGAAAGTATATATATAAGTTTTTTGCTTACACAAATTTACTTTAATAAAGTAAAAAAAAATATTGTTTTATTCTTATTGATTCTTGCAATTTAAGGAATTTTAAAAATAAAAATTTAGTTAAACAAATCATACATTAAAAAAAACGTTCATTACTCCTTTTTTTATTTTATTTTGATTTATTTTGATTATTCACATAACAATGAATTTTAATCATCCAAACACTATGGTAAGGTACATAGCGACATATCATTGAAACGACGTCAAGTAAAAAAAAAGTTGATACTGGTTATTTTTTTATATTTTGCTTTGTTTGAAAGATTCGAATTTAAATTAGTAATAAGAAACTATACACGTTGTAATGAAATATAGATAACTTCATAATTCTTCGAATTTACGTAAAAGGTTATTTTAAATCGTGTGAGTACGCTTGTGCAAAGTTATTGCGGAATGATTAATGTGAAACGTCAAAAGGTATTTCTTAGATTTGGTTGACTATAAGTAGATATATATTTAAAACTCTTTCTATAAATTGTAACCTGACAGAATACAAAAGTGAAACAATTTAACTTTTTTTTTTTTAAATTATACAACTGTAGTTTTTGATTTGTTAACTTGTATTTTATCCGATGAATAAATTTTATCCGGTGAAAAAGTGGAGTTGGACTACAAAATACCACTTAGTCATTGTGTTGCTTCTAGCAATGATGCTGTAAATTAAAAAATATTGTGTTAAGTTTGTACTTGTCTATATGCTACCATTAAAGGGCAAAGTTCATTTATATTAAATGTTTGTCGTAGTGCTTAATGTTTATAGTGTAGCATGTTTAATATTTATATGAAATATATTACTCTAAAAATACTTTGAATGCCAAAATTAACGCACTATATTTTAATCATTTTATTTCATTAAGGGCCAATTAAGGCTAAAATATAGAAACCAGACAGAAAAAAGAAAACCCAAATATGCACTTATTATTAATGTAATAATAAAACTTTAATTAGATTAAATAAAAACCACTAAATCGAACATAATCATAGGCCGATACAAATAAGTGTGAAGACGATTTTACCTTTCATACTCGAGATAAAACAGTTCACTAACATCATAATTTTAAACACAGTCAAACTTTAATTCAAAATAAGGATAAGCCTTAACACGTAGAGATTTGTTGCAAATTGGACTTCCGAAAAATGTAACCAAATCAACTCCGTTATTTCATTCGCACCGACCACACCTGTCAATATACATATTATGTGAATAGGGATGCGAAGTGGATAAATTACCTGTAATTTCCTAGGCAAGTTGCCGGGCGAAGAGCGTGGAGACTTGGTTCTCTGAAACACGCTGGGTGCCATCATGACCGCCACAGGTGCCTTTAACTCTGAAATTAAAACAAATACAATGAGTCAAGGCGTCATTGTTCTGTTCTGTGACGAAATGAAATATACGGATGATACCAAGATTTTGGTTTGTATGAAGTTTATTATTAATATTTAGATAGCATTTTTGATAAATTTGAATGTGTAATATATGTGCATCGAAAAAGTTGCTCCGGGCTATCGCTGTACTGATATCCGAGCGAATACATAATTTCTATAAAAACTTAAAAAACGTCGTCATAAGGTCTCAAATTGCGTAACGCCCGCGACGATTAAGACCGCTTAGAAATATTTTCAGAATCTTAAAATATTTTTTTAAAATTTAAGAAATGAAAATGATGAGCAAGTAAACTATGAATATTGATGTAATGAATGTATTTGAGTAATTCCCAAGCATATAGATTAAGTAATTTCGTTGTAATTTCAACTGTAGTAATTTTTTAGAGGTGTTTTCGCAAATACTTATGATCAAGTCAAAATTTATCAATCGTGTTTTGAGCAAGCAAATTCAAGATAAAGACATGAATTTACCTATATCAATAGTATTCGATGAAAGGTGCATTTTTTCACGGTGTCGCCTTAATATTAAATAATTCATTAACGAACTTAGGAAAATGCATTACAAATTAGTCTTGGTTTTGTCCTGTTTTATTCGATTCTCACTACATTTGCCTATAACTGTATTTAAAAAGAATGTTGAATAAATTCCGGCCAGACTCATATTAATTGACATTTATTTAAGAACTAGATAATTTTATTAGACCTTAAAAATTCTTTAATATTACCTTTTTTACCGGATACGAGGCATGACATGACATCTTAGCTCTCAGGGGTGGCAACGCATTTATTTATATTTTTATTCGTAATCGCGGATAGATGTACATGTCTACGGGCTACAGCATCCACTTACCATCAGGTGGACTTGGGCTTGCTTGTCACACTAATTCTATATTTAAAAAACTAAAATTATAATTATAAATTAGATTAATAAGAGAAAATGTATTACAATTTTTCTGAAAATATACTTTGTCCGGTGTTAACATTAGATTGAAAACGGTAGTTTTTTTCTTCTATATTTTTGAAGTCGCAATCCACATATTGTATTAAACGGTGAGTAATTATTTTTTTGCGGCCTGATTCGGAACTAGCATTTACCCGCGACGCAATCCGCGTTGAAAGTGTAAGGAGCTTTTTTGAGTAAAATAGCAAACTAAAATATTACTTTGAACCCTTTTTTTAATCCTTTATATTTTTAAGAGTTTATAGGATTAGGTTGTCATCAATAACCAGTTATTCTATCACTTTTTCGATTTCATTAAAAATCCTTGTTTGTGGATAAGATATAGCCTAGATTATATACTTCTGGCCCTGCTATCCATTATTATTTGTTCGTGGAGTTTCATCACAACCGGTTTATTCAAAACATTAACTCGGAGTAATTTACATCTTAAATAACTCATTTCTTTGGATTTTTGCAAACTAGTAAACAAATATTTATTAAAAAATATGGTTAGTTATTAATGTATAAGAACTATCACCTTTGTTTTCCATTTTATTTATAAAAAAATTAGTCGTTACAAAATTTGCCACTTTTTAAGGGTATTCGGTTAAGTAATTAAACGCATTGCTTTAAAAAATAAGATAGAATCATTGAGCTATTATGTACTACGTACTAGAGGCGACACTGCATTCTTATACTCTGTTCCATTATACTGCGGTGCTTACACCGCACTTTAATCAGTCACTCGCTAGGCGCTTGTGGAGTTGTCACGTGTTGTGTGAACTTAGATATTGTACAAATAATTCAAGAAATGTCAGTAAAAACCAAGGAATTACTTTGTGTATTCTATGATAAAAAAAACCAACCGCGCGAAGCACAGAGTAGCGCACATTTTTTTGTTTGAAATAGCTGTTCTAGTACGTAAGTACATATTACTAAAATGGATAGAATGAATTTTTTAAACAACAAATTTTATTTTAAAATGAATCTCTCCGAAAAAACATGAAAAATAAAGTAAAAAAATGTTAATAATGTTATTATTATAAAAGTTCCAATAACTACGAAATGTTTTAAAGCGTGAAGATTGTATAAATACATTCTTTGAAAGTCGTTAATTAGCTGGACTCCGTTGAAAGTTGTAACGACCTAGAATAAAATATGAGTGATAAATGAGATCACAGTGATTATAATCATGAAGATCAAGATGATCATGAGTGACGTGTTAGAAAAAACTGAAATGATTCAAATAATTATTTAAGAATAATGAATAAATGTAATAAATAATATAAAATAATGGTATAGTAACAGTTTCAGGTTGAGATGTTTGTCCATGTACCATGTAAAACGCTTCTACGATACAGGCGACAATCCTAGTATGGAGGTAAAGTTTATTAACCGCAACACCCCAATCCCTCCAGACCCTGTTTGCCCCTTCTTCTATAAAAAAAAAATTAAAAGAAAGAATTATTGAGTCAATGCCACGATAAGCTTGTGTCAATGACTACCCGATTGATTAATCGTATCTTAACTCAATCTCTATACTTTAGTGTTGATTACAATGAAATAAAATATGCTGTTATAAAGTGAACAATGTTCAAATAGAAATCTAATAAAGGATGGGTGGTTCGTAAAACATCGTTTTTTTGTATAGTATAAGAACTACAGTCGAGCACACAATCTACCTGATGGTAAGTGGATGTTGTGGCCTATAGATATCTACATTAATTTTCATTTAAATATAAAATGAAGATGCGTTTTTATTAAGGAATAATATGGAATACCGCGTTTCCACTAAAAAGGGTCTCCGGTTCTTTATGCTCACCGTATAAAACACAGCACCGTATATTGTGAGAGCATGATTCTTCCCCAGTCTAGCCGACCCTTTCGTGCTACAATCATAAGCTGCAGCGTGGCTTTACCACGTAAGTGAAAAAGTATACAACACTCGTATGTTTCTAACAAAGATACAGCGTTGCCAAAACCACACCCCCCAAAACCCCCATACCCCTTTTTACTCCTCCCCCCCACCCCCCTGTAAGCGATCTTATTACGTTAAGTAAATAAAATAAGAACGAACTTGGCTCTAACTTTATGGGTTTTATGAGACAAAATACTCACGAAACATACTAACATAACACATTAGTCGTTTTCCTACTTTTATATAGAACTAAAAGAAACAAACAAAACTGCCTGAAATAATTTTAACTGAAAATAGTAAAAAAAAACTGCAGTTCAAAACACGCCTGCTAAATATGGATAGTCTGATCTATATCAGCATAAGTAAAGTTGTAGTACCGTGTCCGTTTAGTATCAAACGGTTTCCTTACTATATCTTTGATTTACAACATGAATGTGACTTTAAAAAAATGTCTGTATTATAGTAGGTATAAGAATTTCATTTTGTGTGAACTTTATTGCTATTTAGCTGGCAACACTACAAGTTAGTCCGTAGCAAGGTGAATATGACGATTTAGTGTGAACTACCAGTTTTGTCAAATAAATTTAAAAGCATTTTATGCGATTGTTGTTTGTATATTGTGTTTAATAATATTTAACAGTCTGTCTCTTTTGTACGAAGAGAGCTATTTGAATCTTTTAACACAAGAACGAGTTTATTTTAATTTGTTTCATAGCGACTATTTAATATATAATAGATATAACAACACACCCTATAAAATATGCCTACCATATAGAACCTGATTGAGTAAACGGAAGAAGCATATCAGCAAGCGCGCTAGCAGCACCAAGCCTTGCCACCAGGTCTCCAACACACGAGCTATGTCAAGCGCGTCACTCTTCAGCACAAGCACCACTTCTGATATCGATGTTAATAGAGAAGTCATTGGGTCAAGGCACTTATCCTATGATTCTAGATGTACTGTCATTTTTGCGTATTTTATTCTTTTTTTTATTTAGTCATTTCCACACCGAACATTTTATATGTGAAAAAAAAAACAATGCTCACTGCGCGTTATCGGTTTGATTACTAACTTATCGATATTGAAACCACCTATGGTCATTAGATCAACGCTCGCTTCAATTACGTCCAGCGACTGCCGGCGTCGGAAGCCGTACAGTAGCAAACGCTTCGCTACCTCGTGTATTACGAACGAACTTGATATTTAATAGCTGCAATAACTGCCATCGTCAAAAGCAATCATAATTGTATGCTTACAAATGGAAATTATTTTCACAAACACTCAAAACACGTATCATTTACGCTCTCTGCACAACAATGTTTTTTGTTCGATTAAACATCTGCGAACTGAATGCAAGGAACGATGATTGTTGACGTCTTCATTTTAAACAGTGATTACTGTTTAATAAACCTACAAGAATTCTTTTACATTTCTCTTATATTGTAGACTTAAACTTATTTCTTCTCTGCCTCATGATCATGTCAAGTGGAGCTGCTAGCTCTACAATACTAATATATTTTGATGTCCGTTAATTCTCGAATATACCGATAAAACGCCGACATGTCGTCTCCTTGGGTACGATTTACGTAAAATTGAAAGTCTCTACTTAATTAGAGTATAGTTTCGAAACACATAAAAATGTTGCAATTCTTTTGCGTATTTAATAGTCACAATACTTATCATCGTCATCATTATCACAGCCTATAGTATATATTCACAATACTATTATTTCTAAATCATAGGAAAAGTTAAACTGATAAAAGGCAAATATCTCTTATATAGGTATTTGCAGACAACTGGATTTGTAAACAAGTTCTTTTCAACGGTATTTCATTCCACATAGCAATTCCTAGCACGATTCTTTGCAATTCAAAAAAACTTTCTTTTACATCCGTGATATTTGAATTATCAGGCTCTTAACGCTTCCTACATCTGTACACTTTTTAAATATGACTAACTATTTTTAAGTTCATGTTCATAATTTTATCCATTTCAGGTTTGAAACTCAGTTTAATATTAATAACCACAGTTACTAAAACATTTTAAAATATTTTTCGCAA